CCAGAGTGTTGAACTGGCATGAACACGAGCTAGACAGGACTTGCAGCAAGCTGGCCTCAACACCACCCTGTCCTAAAGGTCCAGCTGAATTCCAAGGCCTCCCTGATAAGGCCCAGCTGGATAACCCTGCCTTTGGGTATGGTGGTTGCCAAATTGTGAGAAAGAGCACAGAGCCCTGCAAGATAAGAAAGAAAAACCAAGGACAGAGCGTCAAAGTGTGATAGGTAGCAGCTCAAAGGTCTGAAAGGAGAAAACTCAACAACAGAGTGGCAGAAGACCCTAAAAGGGTAAAAGCTGAATCCCATGAGCTCAAGAAGGCAGCTCAGTAGCATGGATGATCCACCCAACTGTTGCCTGTGGGCAATAAATACAACATCAGGCGTCTTTTTCAGTGGTCTGCATAATCTTGTGCCTCACTAGTCCTTGCTATCCTTTATGTACAAGAAATGCTCCAGGAGAAGCTGTGGGTGCCCCATTCCTGCAGTACCCAAAGCCATGGATGGGGCTTGGGGACAGCAGGAGCTGTGGGAGGTATCCCTACCCATGGGAGGGTTGGGGCTGGGTGGGCTTATAGCTCCCTGCCAACCCAAACCATTCTAGGATTCTGATTCTATGAGAGGCAGCAGGTTACAAACTATTAAGAAGCTTGTGTGTTTTTAAAACCCAGATAGGATGAAAAAATACAAGTGTAAGAGCCTGCAAACAGGAAAAGCCAGTCTTAAGTCAAGAAACTTACTAACAAAAGAATATTGGAAATGCAAGCTAAGAGAGAGGGACATGTTCCCACAAGCTGCTCTGCCTCCCTGAGCCCCAGTGACAGGGATGGGAGTCATATCTGGGCTGGAGGCAACATTCTTGTTGGAAAAAAGGGCAGGGAGCTGAAGAAAGGGCGAGGGGGCTTTATGAAAGTCAGTGATAGGCTGATGGTAGCTCAGGAGGGAGGATGGCAGAATCCCAGTTGTGTTATGACACAGCTCCTCTTCTTCTCCCACAAAGGAGCAGAATTGCAGATTTGAAGGATAGTCATCAATTTGAGAGCAGCCCACCTTTAAGTGATCCTATTCCTTAGCAGTTAATCTTATTTCTTCCCAGCCAGAACTGATCTGCAACAGCAATTGTAAAGGTGCAATGCAAGCTCAAGCAATGGCAGCACACAGGCCATAGCAATCTCCTAGGAGGGACGAATTCTTAAAGTACAGTAAGGTGGCAAACTCTGAACCATCTTTTGCACAGCATGAGTACACAACACTACCAAAATGGCCAGAAAAGGGACCAGGGTTGCTGGGAACAATTGCTGTCAGGAGTCTCCAGCAACAGAGCCACGCATACTCTTACAAGCATCATGACACCAGGGAGCTGATGGCTCAAGAAAACTCTTGTCATTATCCTTAATCTATTTCATACTACCTTCTTCTTCCTTTCCTTTGCCATACAGCATCCACAAGTGCTCATAGAATGGTTTAGATTGGAGGGGTCCTTAAAGATCATCTTGTTCCAACCTCCCTGCTACAGGCAGGTCTGCTCCCCACCAGCTCAGGCTGCCCAGTATCCCAGCCAGCCTGGCCTTGAGCACCTCCAGGGATGGGGCACCTCAGCCTCTCTGGGCAGTGCTGCCAGGGCCTCACTTCCCTCCAAGTAAAGAATTTCTTCCTAACACCTAACCTAAATCTCCCCTCTTTTAATTTAAAGCCATTCCCCCTCAAGATCACGGACTCAACCATGGCATGTTTGCTGCAGCCCAGGCTGCCTCTGATCTTAATGTCTTTAATAATCTCCTCCACATTGGTGAGCATCAGGTCCAGCAGTTCTTCACCTCTTGTGGGTCTGTCCAATACCTGAATCAGAAAGTTACTGTCAGTGGAGTTTCCTTCATTGCTTGCAGGCTGCTATGTTGTTTTTCCAACAGATGTTCAAGTGGTTGAACTCACCCATCAGGAAGAAAGCCTGCAAGCATGAAACCTCTTGCAGCTGAAGCAAGAAGGCCTCATTTGCAGGTTCCCCTCAAACAGACGAGCTGTCCTTTATTGTTCCAGTCCAATAATCAAGACCCTTCACCTTTTTTTTTTTTTTTTTAGCAGCACTGGTTGTGAGTCTGGTTCTCAGCTGCACCTTCTTAACATGGTCGCCTCTTTTTGGTTTTGAACCACAACCTGTACCTTCTCCTTCCATCCCCACAGCTTTGTATCTGCTGGCTAGGAGGACTGCAGGGACAAATGGGAGAGGCTTCTCCATCTGCTCCAAGCAGAAACAAGCTTCCAATCCCCCTCATCCTGTGCGTTTGCTATCAGGTTGGAAGCCTTATCCATCTCCCCTTGCTGGGATTTAGTGCTGATGTTGGCCTGCCTATGCCACTGCGTAATACCAAGCATCACTCTGACTGCTGGATACATCTCAGCCTTGGTGATTTCCTCTTGCATTCTGCTCAGCTGCTCATCTTGTTCACAGCTCCTTGCAGCTCAGCCTCACCACAAGCCTCAAGCTGGATCTCTGTGCCTCCTGGAGCCACGAGCGAGCCAGTTGTAGACATGCTGTCCCCTTGCTTTGCTGCTCTGCACACTACCCACAGAATATGGTATTTCAGTGGACCTGCTGTTTTTAGTCCTGTTGACAGTGGTGCAGATGGCTTTCAGCAAAGTGCTGGGCAAGATGGAAACTCCACCTCCCTTGGTAGCTCCACCTGGGCTCCACTTCTTGCTCCAGCCTCCAATCAGAACCCAGAGGCTGCTTCTGCTCAAAGCTGCAGTGAATGAGAAGTGGATGAGAATAAAGCATTTTATCTGGACTACCCCCAGAAAGCACACTTGCCTGGACACAGGCAACATCAACCCACACAAGATGCCACCAGCAGCCCACGGCAGTGGCAGGACCAGGGCTTTGATCTTCCAACCCTATGCCTTAAAAAGCAGTCATCCTTCCAACCTGCATAGGGATCCCATTGACAGAGGCTTAGATGACATCTCACTAACTCACGTAGAGTTTTCATCTTACAGGTCTTTGTGATTTAATTGCTAAAAGCATCATCAGAACATTTACCACCACAGATGGCGTTTCAGGCTGCAAAGCTTTTTCCTTCTGGCTGACTTACATAGCATCCACAACAGTTTCTCCCAGTCATTGTGCTGTGTGGCATCACAAGCAGCTGGACCAGCACAAGGAGAGGAAAAAAATGTAGAGAACAAGAATATTTTAATACAACATTACCAAATATCTTCCAGCTGTGGGCAACACAACGTGAGCTGTATAAATAAAAGTATCTCTTCTAGATCTACAGAAGAAAATCTTTTTCTCTAAAATACGTAGCATTGGGGTACAGCAATCAGACCATGAATAGGCTGAGTGCCTTATATTGTTCATCCTGTTTTCATACCTGTAGAGCATCTTTAAGACTGACACATTTTACTATAGCACACCAGCCATTTAGTGGACACTTCATCCCTATGACAACCCAACACTCACAGAGCTACAGCTCTCCTGTACTGCAACAGTAAAACCTTCAGCAGTTACAGCAGTGTTCATCAGCCCAGCATGACCTACAATGCTTAAGATTGTCTCAGAGGTACCAGCAATGCTCTTACAACAGATAACCAAAGCATCATCACCTCCACCTCTGAAAGGCGAATGCCACAGTTGTGTCCTGACGTTCACACAGCAGGAGAAATGGAGAAGCACCTCAGAGTCACATTCAGGGCACAACATTGGTTCTTATTGTTGAACTGGCAGCTTGGAAGACAGCCCTGCAATGACACTAAACAAAAGCATTTGATTTTCATGAATGCTTATGGACACAGTCTGTTGACTTCTAACACCCTCAAGATCCATTCGTGCCACAGCACGCACGAGATACAGGGATTTGGATGCTGCACAAACACCACTAACCATAGGTGCCCAGGATTTAATGAGGTGAACTCACACACAGTCCATTCACAGAGGTTAACAGATATTAGGAAACGTTTCACAATGAGGCAGTGGCACTGCTGTCCAGAGAGCTGTAGGTGCCCCATCCCTGCAGTGTCCAAGGCCATGGATGGGGCTGTGGGAGGCATCTCTGCCTGCTGCAAGGCTGGGTGGGCTCTAAGGTCCCTTCCAACCCCAATGAGTTACAAGTCATTCTGTGAAGCTTGGGACTGCAGGGCAACGGAGAGCTGATCTGCTGAAAAACCAGAAGTCACACAGCATTCTTTTACCTCTCAGTGATGGCCCAGGGACACAGCATGCTGACCCACCCCCTTTCCTGGCATGTAGAAATGATGCTACCTACAGTTTCTAAGCAAGGTGGGGAGAGACCTAGCACTACTAATGAGCTTGCAAGGTTCTGCTGCAGTCCTGCCCACTCTCCCTTTAACATCTGCCTGCATCATAGAATGGCCTGGGTTGAAAAGGACCACAATGCTCATCCAGTTCCAACCCCCTGCTATGTGCAGGTCACCAACCAGCAGACCAGGCTGCCCAGAGCCACATCCAGCCTGGCCTTGAACGCCTGCAGGGATGGGGCATCCACAGCCTCCTTGGGCAACCTGTTCCAGTGCATCCCTTAAGGAATCTAATACAAGCATAGAACTGCAATTAATTTCTTTCCCACGCCATGTGCAGAGCTGATGACAAAGGACCAAAACCATGGCAGCAGAGCTCTGCAATCCACACACACAGGCTTGAAGTCTCAACCTTTTCATGTAGCCCTGCAGCACAACTCCCCTCTTTATCACCTCTGTAGGAGAAAATGCACATCAGCCAGGAAAAATAAACTTTAGACAAGTGTTTGCATCCAACTCACACACACGACAAGAAGTGAAGGCAGTGCTACAAGATTCTCCAGCACTGTAATTAAAGAGTCCCAGTCTTCAAGGTTTTAATTGGAACATTTTAATTTGAACAGACAATTCTATTATCTTCTCAACATATCTACAATGAAGCTTACAGCCATTTTGTGTCTGTTTCTCCCCCCTGTAATGGCTGAGCCATTTCAACCACAGTCATTTTTTTTTTCCCTTGGATTTACCTTCTTTTTTTTTTTTTTTGCAGTATATTCAACGCCACAGCAGCCAGGATTCTGTACATGTTCAGCATACATCTAACAACAACACACAGCTCCCAGCCCCGATATTGAGTTTTCAAATGAAGACTGATGCAGCAGCCGAGTCCAATTAGCAATTCCAGATGTTGAGACAGAAGTGCACTCATCACTTAAGTTTGCATGGGCTAACAGATAGATAGCACGCATCACACAGTGCTATTCAGTGTCACAGTTACAAGAAAGGAGTGCTATGATAGACATTTTCCCTTGTACAGGAACCTGTACACGACAGCACTTTCCAAGGCTTTAGCAAAGCACAATGAGAAGCCAACATGCTGTACAGTGCAATTTCAGTTCCATTGTACGCAATGGGACAACAGTGCACTTAAAACAGGTCTCCACATTCAAGAGTTAGATCAATACAATCAAAATATCGAAGGTACATATTTCCCTTTCTCCTCGTGAAAACTGTGCAAGTTTGATTCTTTTTCCCTTTATTCTTTTGGTTAATGGCAGCGTGTCTGCACTGAGCGAGCCCAGGGGAAGGGCCTACAAAGAGTATATGCTAAGGAACAGAAACGGGCATCCCAACAGCTGTGCAAAGCAGCATCACACTCACAGCCTGGGAAGACACAGCAGTGTGTGGTTAACTCCATGGGGTGAACCCTGCAGGCTGAGGGGAAGCAAGCTGATCAAAGCAAGGGAATAAGTGTGATAGACATAAGCGAGCAAACAGCTGGAGTGCTCCACAGTCTGGAAAGCACTGGAATGGATAGGTGAAAAGAATTGCAGGTGCCATGAGACATCTGAGAACTGTTTGTTTTCCCTGGAGGATGTGTGGGGTCCACACGTTGGGTGAGCTCTACCACACAGCACCCAGCAGGATTGTACCACTGCACAAAGGGGACTGTTTGCAGAAGAACTAAGGGGAAAAAAGAACAGCCTGCTGCCACTGCTCACAATGACAGGGTCATTTTCACATGAAGACTGCAAATCCATGCCATCTCCCCAGATGCCTGCAGTTTCTGTAAGAGATAAGAGACTACAGCAGCCAAGCAATTACATTAAAAAAGAAAAGAGAACAACCTTCTTTGCTTCTCTTATTATTTAGCTCAATATATAATTACTATGTTAGGAAATTGCATAACCTTTAAGTGTGTTTTATGTACAGTCTGTTATGGGGAAAACAGTTCCTTCCAAATCCTTCTCGTCTGACTCACGATGATGTGTTTTGGACAAACAGCAACAGCAGAAGTTCTGAATGGGATGGGAGTACAACATCCAGGCAGCTGCAGACAGCACAGCCATAGCTCTGAAGGGTGAGCAGTAATATTCAGGGCTTTCATTTGCAATATAAGCAGGCAGCTCCAAAAATCCAGAGCCTGGAAGTGGAAGAAAGGCATGGCCAGCTTGCATCTCCCTTGTTGTGTGCTGCAGGTCTTCAGCCACTCTGATAAATACAAGTGTTCCCTATGTCAGCTGTAATCTAGGGAACATGTCTGCTCTACAAGAGTAGGAAGAAACAGATATTACAGTGAAGTGTTTAAGCCACAGGACTTTAGAAGTTTAGGCTACTCAAGAAGAAAATTAAGGAGATATGGACTGAAGCAAAAGGCATTAAGGTAGTGCTTAATATCAGTCTCCTTCATTGTGGAACACCTTTTAAAAAGGTTTCTTTAGGTGTTACACAGAAGGCTGCTCTCCAGATACTTCCAAGACAACTAAGGAGCCTCTATTTTCATATCTTTATGCTAAGTGGCTTTTAAGCAAAGGCAGCTTCAATCCAAAGCATCAAAAAAATGACACTTAAATTCAACACTTGTCAAAGAGGTCAAGATTGACATCATGCAGCTGCACTGGTTTCAGCAGCAACAGGCTAACAGTGAGCAGCTTACAGTAATCCCAGCCACATGCACTACTTGTTTTCAAAGTCTCCTCAGTTATGGGTAGCTATCAATGAAATCTAGCTGGACAAACACCAACATGAGTTAATGCACCACACCATTCTTATCTGAAGGAGAAAGAGACTTAGAAAAAAAAAAGAATCATAAAATAGCAGATTACAGCCACAGAGACAAATAACTACAAAATGAACTTGTTTGGAAGAAAATCTTCTCTAGCATCTTTGAACAGTTTTAGTGTAAGTCATTTGCAGCTGCTGTTAACACTTCTGTAATGTGACAGCCTTCCCATCTGCAGCAGCTACCTGGTATGCTGGATCACGCCAACTCTCAGCTTTAGCTTTGGATGTTTGAGAAAGCATATAGGAAGAGCCTGAGAGAAGAAACAAAATGGAGTAATAATGTTTTGCTGAGCAGTAAATTAAGTGTTGCTTGTGCACTGTGAACCTGTTCAAATGTATAGAAACAGAAGTTCAAGAGGGTAGTGTGGCTCTAAAGAGAACAGCTCCAAGTCCCTTGTTTTGCTCAGCAAGTGAATACACCTCCAGCAATCACAACCTTTTTGTTTTCCAGGTAGAATAAAAAATATTTTTTATTCCTTAGAAGTTACTTGTCCACGAGGAACAATTCCACCTGAAGGTCATAGCTTAAACATTAGCAGCAGAATCCCTATTCAATTCTGTATTGCACTGAAATTTCTTACGTGGTATGTAACCTACTGCTCCCAAACCACAAAACCCCCAAATGTGAGATGTGAAGGCTACTGAAAGCACTGTTTGGACTGGTTGGTCTTGTAGTTAGATTATAACCTTTCTAGGAAACTAAGGAACTAAGCTGCCTTAACTACTTGAGGAGAAAAGGTGCTCTCAGATAGAATGCCTTTAACCTATCTATACATAACTTTGTCTTTTAATCCCGCAAAGAATGTTTAGAAAGTTCAGCAAAAATAAAATAAAAAAGATCAAAGTCCAAAATAAATCTGTAACATTTCATCTCTTGGCCCATCATGATCATCCATACAGCTGGCTGGAGGTACGAGTTTCAGCTTTTTGCTGACACTGCACAAGTAAGAGACAAGAAAGCTGCCAGGAGAGGAAACTATGCCCAGTTGTACCTTCTGTAAACAAAAGAAAATTCCCTCCCAAAAAGCAGGGAGGTACACTGTGTGAAGTGAAGGTTTCAGCAGTGGAGGACTGAGGGTCAGCTGTACCAGAGGACTCTGCAATACATGCACTTTCCATGTTTAATCTTTAACCTAAAAGGAACTGGAAAAGAAAGACCTGAGGCAAAGCCCTGGCAGCTCACGGGTTCTCCTGCATGTCGTCCATCTCATCCACCTCGTCCATCTCATCCATTTCATCCATCTCATCCATCTCGTCCATCTTGTTCATCCTGTCCATCTTGTCCTCTGTTTCTTTCTCCATTATCTGCTTCCTCATTGAATTAACCTTATCCTGAAGAAACCTGTTGTAGTCTACAATCTTCTTCATTTCTTCCTCGGCTTCATCTAGGAATCTGGAAGGCCTGTTCCATCGCAGGAATACACCTGAAAGCCCAGAGACAGAAAAAGTTAGAAGGATTTCATGTAATCAGAGGTGGAACTGCTATTCACATTCTATCAGCTCTCAAGTAACATACATATAGTTTACATATTTTTTCTTACTCTCTTCCCTAAATAGCACTTAGCAATACTGAACCTGCTCTGCATTCACCATTCTGTTAAGTAAGGTTAAAAAATTTGCCTTCTTTTTTTCCTCATACTGATCAGTCCACGTTCAGTCTCTGGCCTCCCACAACAGCCTGCTTATTTCATTGTCATTAGCATTTTAGCACACACAGAATCATAGAATGGCCTGGGTTGAAAAGGCTCAAAATGCTCATCCAGTTCCAACCTCCCTGCTGTGTGCAGGGTCGCCAACCAGCAGACCAGGCTGCCCAGAGCCACATCCAGCCTGGCTCTGAATGCCTGCAGGGATGGGGCATCCACAGCCTCCTTGGGCAACCTGTTTCTGTACATCACACATAGGTCAGAGAAAGTTTCTTGAACAGATGATCTAGTGCACAGATTACCCATCTATTGGCCAGGATAAAGGAGAAAAAGGTCTTGCTTATACAGAATAAAGAAAGCCTGAGGCTTACAGAATTTACCATAGATAAGGCTGCATCACTGCAAAGATATCGTGCTAACAAGTTAAATGGTACTGAGAAGGTTCAGTGTGACCCCTGCCAAAAACTAGCATGTTGCTAAACTTCATGAGGAAGCACTATGCTTCTGGGTAAGCTACATTCCAAACATATTTTGGAACAGATTTCAAAGAGAGTGAGAACGTTAACAGCTGAGACAGACTAAGTATGTAGCAGAGACAACAGAAGCAGATGCTTCACCAGTAGCCACAAAATATAGATGAGCTTGGTTTACCTTCCCAGAGCTGCAGGCTCTGTGGGGCCACAGAGGGCCAGATGACAAGGCTGTTGGCCTCAAAAAGAGGATTCTGGAAATTTTTCAGCTCTTTGGGCTGGTTCACCCAGGACCACAGGGACATAGTCTTCTGCTGCAGCTTCAGTTTAGACCTAGCAAACCCAAAGGACCAAATTAGCTTTCAGTTTTAGACTAAAAATCATAGAATCCTTAGAGTTAGAAGGGACCCTTAAAGGTCATCTAGTTAACTCTCCTGCAGTGAACAGGGACACACATAGCTAGTTCAGGTTGCCCAGGGCTTGATCCAGAAGACAACTCATTTTGTTTTGTCAGATTAGACTGCCACAGGCTTTCCCATGTGCTACTAGCCCAGACAAAGAAATGGATCAACAATTCAAGCTCATCCATTCAGTATCACTCATCAGAATGGCACCAGCTCGGTAGAAACCTAAAAGCAATTTACTCAAAAGCTGTTTCCCCAGCTCTTCTTTGTCATTTCTAATTTGGGTGGAAGTTAGCTGCCTTCTTCTTTCCAGAGGTCAGTCACCTACCCCCAAAATAGTTTGCCTGCCCATTTTGAAAAGGACTCAGTCTTGTTAAGATTGAGTCATGAGGAATGATGGTAGGTCAACACCAAGTGCAATTCCTGGTGTAGGCTTAAGGCAGAATGAGTGCAATGGATATGGCCTGTTAGATCCCTCTGGTGGCAGGAAGCACCAGAGTACAGAAAGAAATGTCTTTTCCTGGGTCAAACCCACCACCTAGAGTTAAACAAGGGTTTCTAGTCGTTGGATTCTAACAAATCTCATCCTGTTGAGCTGCCACCCAGGTGGGATATTTGCCATCCCCAGGCGGCACAACCTTAACACTGGACTTCAAACATGCTTGTGCTCACAGGTGGATGTACTCAGACATGACAGAGGTTATTACACCTAACATTCATATTCTTTCAAATTTCATTTGATTGGTTTTAAACCTGACTTAGTTTTGCAGTCTGACCAGTTCAGCAGCCCTGCAGAAGACAGGAATCTCTTCTAAGCAAAGGTTACTTTCAGGGCTGAGAGGTTTTGAAAGGCTTCACCCCACCTTTATTTTATTTGTATTTATTTGTATGATCAGCACTATTTTTTCCCTCTGTTCCTTCAGAGGTCTTCACACATGGTCTTACTGGACTCAGGAGGCCTGAAAACAGACAGGTTTAAGATAAAAACAGGAAATGAAACCACTGGTAGCTGCCAACTGTCCTGTGGGGTTCCTACCCTCGTGAACTCCAGCAGTGCTGCTCAGTGTGTGCCCAGAGCTGCCCTACTGGTACAGCACAGCATCAGAAGCTGAGCAGGATTCATACGCTGAATGTTGGCTTGCTCAAGGCCTCAAGGCCTCCTCCTCAGAAGAGAAGCCCCCTGGCATTGCAGCACACCATGCAACAAGAGAAACTCACCCGTGTGCAGAGAGACCAAACCATCACCCTCACCTTTTTTCAAGTCAAGCAATATTTTTACCAGACACAAGCTGATATTTTAAGGGGTTCAAGAGCAAGCAATCTCACCAACCTTTCGTTTTCATTGTTTCCCAGGAAAGTCCCAAATTGTGAAGCATAGGCATGCTCAAAGAGTGTAACAAGGAAGTGTTCATTGAATTCAAAAGAGCAAGGAAATTGATGAAGGATTTGCCATACACAGTCCAAAAAGAGAAGAAACACTGGGGCCTCCAATTTCTGCTTGCTATTTGAGTAGGCTGATTGGGCACAGCGTTGCTGAAAAGGATGACCAGCCTACAAAGAAAAATCAGAGCATCACAAAGAGCAACAGAACACGAGTATCACAGCATCAGAGAATGGCCCAGGTTGAAAAGGCTCATAATGATCATCCAGTTCCAACCCCCTGCTATGTGCAGGGTCACCAACCAGCAGCCCAGGCTGCCCAGAGCCACATCCAGCCTGGCCTTGAATGCCTGCAGGGATGGGGCATCCACAGCCTCCTTGGGCAACCTGTTCCAGTGCCTCACCACCCTCTGGCTGAAAAACTTCCTCCTACTATCTAACCTAAACCTCCCCTGTCTCATTTAAAACCATTCTCCCTTGTCCTATCACTGTCCACCCTTGTAAACAGCTGTTCCCCCAGAGTACATGCAGTATGTGCAGCTTCAAACACCCAGTGATACTTTTCTGCCTTTTCAGGCTATGTGGTTGATGGGATATTTTTAACCAAGAACAAACTGCTGTAGTGGCACCAAAGAACCGAGATGAGGATATTAACTCCAGGAATACAAAGAGTGGAATTAAAGTTCTCTGTTTCAGTCTGGATGGTATTCTAAAGAGTTGTTCACCTTGTGCACATAAAACAGGCTGCTACCCCAAACTGCAAGACTGCAGTGAGAGGTACAGGCCCCATGATGTGCTAGAGGTACAAATGACTCAGTAATAACTTTGAGATCATTAAAGGTGTTAAGGCTGGAGGCAGCCTGGGATGCAGTGAGCACATCCTGGTTGAGTTCATGATCTCAAGGGATGTGGGTCTGGCAAAGAACGGCATCAGGACCCTGAACTTCGGAAGAGCGAACTTTAAGCTGTTCAATGGACTGTTGGCCACGATCCCCTGGGATGCTGTCTTTAAAACAAAGATGCTGAGGAGAGCTGGCTACTCTTCAAGGACACCTTTCTGAGAAAACAAAAACTCTCCATCCCTCTGAATAAGAAAGCGGGCAGAGGAGGTAGGAAACTGGCATGGCTCAGCAAGGACCTGCTGGGCGTGCTGAGGGCTAAGAAAGGTGCATACAAGCTCTGGAAACAAGGCCGTGTCCCCTGGGAAGAATACAGGGATGCCATCCAGACCTGCAGATGCAGGATCAGGAAAGCCAGGGCACAGGCAGAACTGAACTTGGTGAGGGATGCGAAAAACAATAGGAAAACTTTCTACAGGTACATTGGCCAGAAGAGACAGGTCAAAGTGAGTGTACCTCCCTTGGTAAATGTAAAGGGAGAACTGGCTTCAACGAAGAGGAGGCTGAGGTACTGAATGACTTGTTTGCCTTGGTTTTCACTGAAGACCAGGATTCTAGTATTTCTCACGTCCCTGAGCCCTGCATCCCTAAATCTTTGGGTGGGGACCAAGGCAGTAAATCCCCCCCCCACTGTAAGGGCAGAGCAAGTCCAAGACTACCTCATGAGACTGAATGTATACAAGTCTATGGGGCCGATGGCATGCATCCCAGGGTTCTGAAGGAGCTGGCTGAGGTGGTTGCCGAGCCGCTCTCCATCGTATTTGAAAACTTGTGGCTGTCAGGTGAGATCCCAGATGACTGGAGGAAGGGACACATTACTCCCATTTATAAGAAAGGGAGCAAGGAGGACCCTGGGAACTACAGGCTGGTGAGTCTCACCTCTGTGCCTGGGAAGATCATGGAACAGATCATCCTGGACAACATGCTTGACCACATGAGGAATGGGCGTGTGATCTAAGACAGCCAGCATGGCTTCACCAGAGGAAGGTCATGAGGTCATGCTTAACCAATCTGGTGGCCTTCTGTGATGGGGTAATGGCATCAGTGGACAAGGGAAAGGCAACTGATGTCACTTAACTGGATTTGAGCAAGGCCTTTGACATGGTCCCCCACCACATCCTTACCTCCAAATTTGAGGGATGTGGATTTGATGGGTGGACCAC